GAGTGAAAAATAGAAAGTGAGAGAGGGAGAGAGAGAGAGATGGCATTGTTCGTAAGGTTGGTCCGAGCAAGCTGGACTGAGGTTGAGTCTCCTCCCCTCGCTCTCTCTCTCTCCTCTCTCCAGCAGCTCCTGAACCAAAAGCTTACTGTGGATCCAAAAGCCGGACGGGGGTTTGCTGCAACACACACACACGCACAGACACACACACACTGTTTCTCTCTCCGTCTCTCGGCAGGTGGACGGGGTTGTTTTGGCTCGGCTGCAGGGCAGCAGCTTGACTCCGTTTGAGCCAATGAGCCAAAATAATAGCCGACGATTCCAGAGTTATTGTCAGCGCTTTCCCCCCTCTGCTTTTCCCAGAATCCTTCTCAGCTGTGCGGGATCCGAATCAGAACGTCGCCCTCGGATGAATTCATTCGCTTACGCATGAAAATACAACAGTGGGATCACCAGTTGTTTGTACTGTACGCTCCAAACCATACAGACAAAACAAGGAAAGATGATTTTTGAAACTGCCTAATCCTCTCTGATTGATTCAAGCGCCAAAATGTTGCAGGCAAAAAAAATATAAATTGAAGGAAATGCGCAGAAAAACATCTCGAATGATGTGTGTTGGTATTTTACTCAGTGCAGACATCATACAGTTTAAACAGGGAGCTGAAGAATTTTCATACAGAATATGTGTGTGTGATATTTTCAACATTATTTACATCCTTAAGCGAATAATGGAGAGAACTGCAGTTTAAATACTTAGCATCGTGAATGCGCCGTGAATCTCAACACTTCCTCTCGCCTAATTTTTCTTTTAACACAATAAACTCCCCTCGCACCTTATTTTTTCTCACGGGGTATCCTCCCTCACCCTCATCTCACACCACCCAATCCTGAAAATATGCGACCCACACCCGTGCGTGGGCACCAGACTCCACCCGCTTACCTCACACAACACCAACATACGCAGACACATACTCGCATACACACTCAGCATCCCATACGTCAGAGAAACAGGGAGTAGTGTCTCGTATTTTCATGGAAAGTGTTGTGCTGTCCTCCTTTATTATGTGATTTTTGGCCCGTAATTAGCACTAGTAGATTCTTGCTGTGTTTCCATTCAGCTGTCAAGCAGATTTTATTTAAAACTTCTTAAAACATTATGGAACATGAAGGGTGAATTAAGTGCATTTCCATATGCTGAGCTGAAGGAAATAAATCCTCGAATCTGAACGAGGTGGAAAGAGTCTTTCAAGAACCGATTTGTATTGGACAAGTTGTTTTGGTTGTTGTGGAACATCAGCCGTGGACGTATTTATATATATATATTTTTAGAAAGAAGACAAAAACAAGCGATTTGCTTCTAATGAACTAGTGAACAAGAAGATAATGCATAGACAGGTCACCAAACGGCAACCTCAGGCTTAAAAACGAAGTGTGGGGCTGCAGTTCCTTTAGTGACCACTAGGATGGCTCCAAAAGCACGTTAATCCCCACAGTCTCCCATGGTTAAAAGCCTTTCACTTAAAGTTTAAGTATAAATGGCACAGTCGGTCATTTTTTGAGGTTATTTATTAAAGATTCATTGATTAGTATACGATGTGTATATCTCTGAAAGCAATCTCATAAATTATTAAAAATTCCTAGGAAGTGTGTGTCATTTTGAGGAAGGTGCCATGTTGCCCCGTCACTTTGAACACACGGTGGACAACAAAATACCGCCTCATATGTAGTACACCAAAGGTGAAGAGAAGTTAACCCATATTCATGTCTGCACCTTCAAAGATATGAGGGATCATACCTATGTTTGATCAGCTTTTCATTTCAATTCAGTTCAATTTTATTTACACAGCGCCAAATCACAACAACATACATTATTGTAAGGTAGACCCTACAATAATACATACAGAGAAAACCCCAACAGTCATATGACCCCCTATGAGCAAGCACTTTGGC